CTTTATCCCCCATAGTATTTCTGTATGTTTGATTTCCTTCGACTGATTCCTTTCATTTATTAGTCGCCAATGGTTTGAACTTCTGATTACTTAAGTTTTCTTCACTCAATCGAGGTTTTTTCCCTTTTATTTTTATGATTTTTTATTATTATTGATTTGTTTCACACAGAGATACAGGGAATTGTTTACAAACACTGGAAATCAGAAGGACACCGAGTTCACAGAGTAAAGTTACTGTCCATCAGACAGCATTCGACTCCCTTCCTCCGAAAGGTTTTCATCCAACAGTCAAATGTGATAGCGAGTACACGATCATCGGGGCACATGCATGCCGACAGTATGCTAATAATCCAGTTGTTTTATTTCGATTCGTTAATACCTCACGCCAATCAAACCTCGATGAAATGTTATGTGTATAAGCAGAAAAAAATCATTAAGTCCGACTACGTGGTATACGTACTTTCTTTTTACTTTTTAGAACTGGGGTGTATGATATGAAAATTTGAGTGACACCGCGCCAGCAGTAATCTCGGTACCATATCCAATTCATGCCGTTCACAGCAGGTGAATTTGAGCTGAACTGCCATCGATCACACCATAGTTTACCGTAACACGCGAAAATCATCAATCAAATATCCACACTTGCGCGCTCAGCCTTTAATGTGGGATTTACGTCACCGCGCGGCAAAAAATATTCCGATATCGACAGAGCTGCTTTCGAATCCTTCCCCAAGTGCATACACATGAGAATCCCCTTAACCTAAAATTTCATTACCTGGACTTAATGGCAGGGGCGCCCAGACGGAAGACCCCAAACATTTAAAAAAATTCTAAATTAAATTAACCGCTGTGTTATTTCTCTTGCATCGCGAAATTAATTTCATTTAAGGGGAGGGAAGGGGGATTTTAGTTTGAAATAAGGAACCCACATTGATATTACTGCCCCAGTCCTCTTTCTTTTATGTGTGCGCCCCTGCTAAATACAGTCAGAATTCTCGATATTCCTCAAACCTTCATTTAGGTTGAGGGCAGAACGTTTTGCGCCCCACCCATGTGCAGCGTACGGAGGTTCAAAACTCGGGAAGGACTCGAAAATCACCTACGAAGCGTTCAAGCAAGGCTCTATTTTATTTTTATTTCTTTAGATTTTTCTTTTATTATCTTCCTCGAAGGCGGAGCCTGGCTCGCAGATCGCCTCATGTGCAGATTAAATGACCAAGTGATCTCGCAAGCGAATTAAAAAATACATTTCATTTCTTGGAATACAGTAAGTCAAAATATAACATTTTGTCAAAAACTAATTCACCAAGGAATTTCCGGAAGTGCAGTATTTACAAAATTTCCATCATTAGCAAGTTTTGAATGATAAAATAATTCAATATATTACTTAACGTTTTGACTTCTGGTAAATCTGAGAACGTTTCCCCAATTAGTGAGGATAATGAGGAAATGAAAAATCTGCCAATACGCTATATTAAAGCAATTATTTCTGGTACTTTTGATGGCAACTTCTGTCGTTTCGTATAATCAGCTTACCTCCTCAAAAATTACTATTTTAATTAATTAACACATTCGAGGTTCCTTCTGAATATTTCCCGCCTGTAGATTTAATTAAGGAAACTACATACTATGAAATTAAGTGCTCAATGATCAGTAATTTTTAATTTTTTGTGTTGTTAAATAACATCAATAAGCTTTAATTGAAGATGGGAAACTATTTTACGTCTAGGAGCATTCTGATTCCTAAAATAATCTTCAACCTAATATGTCTGACAAATCACGTGGGTGAAATCAGTTGCAGCTTGCAAAAATTAAATCTGAAGTGCATAAAGTGCATCAAAAAGACAATTTCGCACTTCGCACATTCAAATTAATAAAGCAATATGCTGTGCCAATATTACTGAATAATTAAAGAAAAACATTTTAAAAGCATCATTAAGAAAGGATACTATGGAAAGCCACAATTGAAAAAATTATACAAGCTAATATTTGAAGTACAGGAAATTTTAGGTATTAAAGCAGAAGATCTTTCCTCCAAGAACACTCCAACAAGTGCTTGTTTTGAGCAAAACTATTTACATAACTATTTTCCGCGCAGTAAGCTTTGAGGATCTCTCTTCAATATTTTTCCCGCTCATGAAATTCGCAACGTACATATCACTCAAAACAAATCAGAGAAAACCAGATCGGCCAGGAGAGAAAATATTAAATGGAGATCGGCCGGAGTTGACAACAAATGAATCCAAAAGCTTTGCTTTCACAACTCTAGCGCTGTCGTCACTTCATCAGGCTGCTGCGCTGCCCGCAATTGTAAGGCATTCGCTACAGTTAACCTTTCAGGGGAAAAAGAGTCTTTCAGGAAATCATTCTGTTCCTTGAACCTAATTGTTTTTGTTTTACCCCTGGTGAACTAACAGAACATCCATAATTCAGGTTATACTTCCTTTATAAGTTTTGTCTTTTGATGCAGCATTCCTCCCATTTTTATAAAAAAGGGACTAAACGTTTGCACCTATTCCATTATTCTGTTGAATAAGAGGCGATTGTGAATTACGCTGCATTAATGGACAAATTAATTAAGCACCTTCTATATGAAGTTTGGACATCTTACAAAGCTACCGACAATTTTCGCGGAAGGCGTAGAAACCAAATAATAAAATGCGACTTTCGAGTACTGTTCATCAAATACTTTTTCTACGCACATTACGTGCGATGGAATCAAAAACGAAGTGTAGGTCGCGTTAACATTCCACAATCCCGTAAAAGTAGGCTACATAAAATTTGTCAATTTGCGGTTCCGTAATTTTGCCTTCTCGCTATCTACCGTCCATTACACATTTTACCAAATCGAACTCTTCTCCTGCGTGTTTGAGGCCGACCGTCATGTCTTAATCCTGTACTGGCTGTAAGATAATTCCATGGCTGAGCCACGCCAAGTTCGAACTCGGCAGGCAGAGGAGACGGCGAGCGCCGTCCTTGGCCTCCCCGTCCGCTCGCCTCGCCTCGCCGCGCTGCGCCGCGCCTTCGGCCCCGAAGTGTCCCCGGCCCCGGCCCTGTCCCCCCGGCGCAGAGCGGAGCGGACCTCGATCGCGCCACCGCCATCACCAACGCCCCGGCGCCCCCCTCTTTTGCCACCCCAGCCCGCCGCCATCGCCCGTCTTTGCTGTCGCCGATCCCGCCGCCCGCCCGCCCGGCCGTACGAGCCTCTCTCGGCAACTGCGGTCGTGACGCGGCCCCGGCCAGCCAGCCAGCCGGCCGGCTCCTCCGCTTCCAGCCCGTTACTGGACACGGGAAAACGCCGACCACGTTGCTCCGCCGAAGGGCACACCACATACGCAGGCAGGTCAATCAGTGGAATCAAGGTGGGCCCAGGGCGGCAAAATTGGGAGAAACGCAAAGAGCTGAAAATCAACATGGTGTAAAATAAATTATACATTTAAATTATATATTTAAAATTACTTCGAAGCCCATAGGTGGCGTATTTTCATCGTTCTTTTTTCAAATTTCCTGAGAAGGGCAGGTCGTTAATGTTTATCAAGTGATTAGATTTTTGAAGACAAAATAAGTTTCTAAAACATCTAGAAAAGAATCACTATCTATCATCCTATCAGCTCCAGAGGCAAACACCTTTCCAATAACAGCTGTAAGATGTGTACTCGTTAAGCCTGCCGCCTAAAAGTAGAAGATCCTTCGGATAAACGAGGGAAACATCAGAATATCGGAAACATTAGAATCTCTCCGACACTGATGTGAAGTAGTAGTCTGAGGTTACCAGAAGATAAAACGTCTTCTCGTTCACTATTGTTCCTGAATTTGGTGAAGAATCTTATATGCAATTCTTCACACAATTTAAATAATTTTCCACAATGTGGCATGTCAACTGAAAATCACAAACAAACTCAATCCGAAGGGCATGTTTGCAGACAAGTGTGAAAGTGATATGGTAATCGATACTAGTTTTTTTATTATATTTTTTGTGAAAGCCGAGAAATCAAGGGCATTGTGCCCATGCAACGTTGCCACACAATTCTCCAAAGAAAAATGGAAAAACCATCCCAGTTTGTAGTGGCGACAACAAAAGACAAACGTAGGAGCTAAATCTGATAGATCAAGTTGTACAAATGGGCATCTAGGAAATTTTAATACAGATCATGAATGTCAAAGCAGATTTTACTAATTCACGCGAAATTAATGACAATACGGAATCAAATTAAATTTAATTATGAATGTTCATCGTCAACTAAATTAAAATCAAATATAATCTACTAGCATAGTTTTTTTAATTTGTTGGCTGTAAACCGAGTTTTTACGATGTGTATACAAAAAAATAAAAGGCAAAACACTTTCGTTTTAGAGGAATTATAGTTGAAATTGTGCTCTGGTGTGTTTTGCAAGTGAGTTGAATGTGGGAAGCTTAATAATACTAACACTTCCAGTAGTAGTGGCTGTAATAGTGTATGGGCCAACGTGCTGCTTCAGCTGGACACGCCAGAAGAAAGGATGTAAACAAAGATCTCAGCAGGACGAAAAACTTGATATTTATATATTCTTGTAATATTGGGCACGAAATTAATGAAAATGGGGAAATATATCAAAATGTAATTGTGACCGTTTATAACTAAATTATAAATAAAATATAATGCAGTCTAGTTGCATATTTTTTATTTACATAGTCGCAAACAAGTAAACACAATTAGTCGTCAGAATTCTAAATAAACATGTTTAATAACGTGTATGCCATTAAAGGGATGTTTTCCCCACTCATTTTAGCCGTGAATAATTATTTAACAACTTTGAATTGAGTAACTGCATTTCCTAAAGTTATTGCAAAACTACACTCTACAGTGATGATAAATATTGATTACAGAAATCAAATATTTTCACTTATTATTATACACACAATCCATATAAATAATTTGACAGCTGTGACAGGCGCGCGCATTCTCACACACGCTCTTGACAACATTAAACACCCGATGTGTAAAAAGGTAAATACTTACGTTCCTAACAGTTCCTTCAAAATATACTTGTCTTCAACTGAGGGCTGCTTGTCAGAGTCCTTTTTGGACTTCTTGGCAGGATCTTTCTTTCCAAAGAGAGGCATTTTATTGGTGATTATTCACATTCACATGCACTAATGACTACGTCGATTTGAATTCAGCTCGCAATGTAACACGCGGGGCGCACGGAAATTAAATATTAACGGACAATATTTGCCACAGGTATGACAGTGGGATGTCGTCAGAGTCTATCGTCCAACTTGAACTGATCTGCACATACGCATTGTCATAGGCCCCAACTTTAGAGAACTGCGTGCACAGTACGCCCGCCAACAACCGAAGATACTCTGCACAGCTCGCAACGCGCTCACCGGCGAACTGCTCCCGCACTCCACTTCCACACCAAGCGGAGCGCTGTGACGTCAATATACCCACAACACGCCGATCCCCGACCTCTGGTAGAAATTCAACGAACTACATGGAGTTGCGCTTTAAACTGCCCTCTAACACAGATTTGTGATACTACGAAGCACGTTTGCTGGAAAGCAGTATCGAATAAGCACCTCTCTCTCCTCCTCAAAGTGGAGACTATCTTGTAATAAGCACTTACCGTCCCTCTTTGCTTCCCTGTTGATGACCTAACGTGAACCCTGATATGAAGAGGCATCGGTTTTTAAACAAGTAGACGAAAATAACAGGTTTATTCACTCTTATTTGAAAGTTGAACAAGTGATAAAAATTAAAAGTTTATACTGCTCCATATTTCAGAATTACATTGTTAAAAATTAATTTAAAAAAATGAAGAACCAGATTTAAAATATAAATATGTACTTGAATTTAAAAATAATTTCGAACATACATTTATGTGTTTATATTTGCGCATATCGTCATATGATAACTTTTGAATAAATTAAGTAATTGTCGAATCGAAAGATAAAACAAATGCTTTTAATTTTGCATCCCACCAAACGGAATACGGATCAACAATATCATAGCGATTACTTCAAAACATTTTTGGAGGGGAGAATAACGACCGTGACATCCACATTTCTAAGCGTCCTTTGCTTTTTCTGAGAAAATGTTTTTTAAAGAAGTTGTTATTTTTTAGAAAAAAAATACCTTCACTTCAAGTAGTAAAAATGATGCGAAAATTACGAGTATCTTAAAAAAATTGAGATCTAATTTTTTGGTTATATTTCCTAAGGAAACAAATTTCAGTCAGCAATATTGTTGTTTTGAAATGTTAACGTTTTGCAATTTTCGAAAATTCAGAGTTAAACGAAAATGAAACCTACGGCATTTTCAGCGTTCTTTGCTCCATCCAATCAAGAATTGAAGCCATTTTTTACAAAATTCTCAAAAAGTCAGTAAGGTTCCAGGTAAAGGACTCTCAAAAATCGAAAAATCAATTTAAAATTCGCAGGGTCTCGAATTCGACCAGATCGATCGGCAACTATTAATTTTGGAGAAAACCGTAAACGGTTTAGGCGCTAGTGTTAGCCAAAGACGGACGGATGGACTGACTGGCGGAAAGACAGATTGACGTATTGCCATAAACCAAGTTTTCGGTAACAAGGACCCACAAAAAGTAGATTCTGACAACGCATTTGTTAGAAGAAGGAATTTAGAACCAATGTAGAAGATTTAACCAATTATTCGATATTAGGGCCCCACAATTCGAGTTTTTCTGACGAAAAAACGTCCTTTTCCGTTGCAGGGTTACAATACTTTACCATACTACATTACATTACAATACAACATATTATATTACATTACATTACAATTACAATACAATACATTACTACAGCATTACAATACAATACTCATTGCAAATACAAATTACACAATACACAATAGTCTTGACTACGTAAGTATGTAGAAGGTGAAAAAGTAAAATATTGTCGTATTCACATATTTCACTTCCTTACATACTACTTAGGCAGTATACAGAAAGTTATGTAATGCTACAATGAAAATGTTTTGTGAAAATGTCGTATTGTGGGTCCCTGATACCGAAAAAGTGGACAATTCTTGTCCCTACGCGTAGTAAATTACTTCGTGTAACTGTAGTTCTGTCAGAATCCACGATTTTGGGTGCTTGATGCCGATAAACGACTCGTTGTCTACGACAAAGCAACTACCTGTCCATCCTACCAGTCTGTCTGTGATCAATGCTAGCAGGTAAACTAAGCAAGAATTTAACCAAAACCGATCGCACATCGATCTGACTGATGACGGGACCCTGAGAACCTGAAACGGATATTTTGATTGGGGGGGGGGGGAGAGTATCTTCGACGAAGGAAAATTTTCTCAAAAATGATTCTACAGTTTATTTATTAATCTCAAATCAAATTACGCTAATTAAAATAATGTACATCCAATTTTCGTTGCATCCCCTGAATTTTCTAAAATTGAAAAAAATTAAAATCCATTTCGTTGTCTCTCCTACATTGAAGATAGTGTTTTTTCATAATGATATCAGTTCTTCAAAAATACCTCTTTTAATAAAATAATGTAGTATAATTTTTGCAAAATGGGAGTAAATTGTACGTCAAATAAAGTCAAAATTTTAGATTTAGCGTCAAACAAATTTTAGCAGCACGATTTTCTAGCAAGCTGCTCCAAACTTTTTCTTTAAACGTTTTCTGGAATAGAGTAAAGAAATCTTATGAAATGGCTTGGGGCCGATTTTAATTAAACTCGCTAAAATTTCAAAATTTTAAAAATTTTAACATTTTTTCGGCATCTTCCTTCATCTTCATGATCAACATTTGGATTTTCAAGATATTCATATTCAAGATAATGGTTTTTATTAATAAAATATGTTCATTTAAAATATATTTTAAAATAATATTCCGTAAAATATTGAAATTTTAAAAATAAATATGAAAAATATCACTAGTTTCCCGTAATTTTGAAATAGTAAAAAATAGTTTAAATTTGTTATTTTTACTTAATTTTTTACTGAAAATCGTACAAATTTCATTACTGCTTTTGATTTTTGAAAATTGCAAATACTCATCTTTATTATCAAAGCATCTAAAAGATTGACAAGTCATCTGGAAGGTTGACAAAGCCACTGAAAGGTTGCAGAGGTGGCTGAAGTGTATGCAGCTTGCTATACCTAATTATCTGATTTCGAAATACAGTGATGAAATATTTTTGCTGGTTCGAAACACCTTTGCAGGTTCAAGTAGTATTATAATATTAACTAACCGTGACAAATAATGCAAGAAAGTACGTGCTAGTGTAGCACAAATAGTTCACGTGTTGAAACCGTGTTCGCATACTTGTAGTGTTGTACTTGTCAAGACTTATTTTATTACGTACATATTTTTCGAAAATTTTCGAAAGTCCTGAATTTGGAGATAATTTTGAATTTCTCGATCATTTGCTTACTTAACTCTTTGTGTTCTCAGTTTCTTTGAAAACACAACAATTCACAACGAAGCGTTCACTATATGGATGATTAAGAGGTTGAATTATGGTGTGCGAAAGTGGCTTTATTAAATTATCTGGAATATCAATTCCCGCCGAACAAGTGTTGCCGAGTTCTATTGTTCCCTTAAGAAACTCAAGGTGATATGTTTCACTAATGGAGATTGTTTCGGAAACCGATGATGAAATATGTTTGAGGGGGATTTATTCCGCTTAGGTATTCCGCATTGAGGGTAAATCTTTGCGAAAAGGTTTTACACCATAGGCAGAGGCGAAGCTAGGCTGGTGCAATGGCCCGTCGTCAGGCCCCAAATAAGGTCTCTCAACAAATTTCCTCTTGGAAATGATTTAGAAAGTATTCCAAAATTAACATTTCCCAAACAAAATTCGCGTTAACCCAATATTTAATATAAATAATTTGTTATCACTTCAATTGTCCGTGTGAGAATTATTTCGAAAAAATATAGAACTGACGAATTGAGTGTGGAGAAACGGAGAGTTTTCGGCAGAGGATAAATTTTGTTGCTATATGTAGTAAATTAATACCTCTAACTCGTTATGTACTCAGAATCCATATTTTGTGAGTCCTTGATAACGAAAAATTACCTGACGTCAACACGTTTATCCGCCCGTGTGTAACGCTAGAGCCTAAACAGTTGAAAAGATTGTTTCCAAAATTGATATCTCCCAGCAATCTGGCCGTACTCAAGGCCCTGCGTATTTGAAACATATTTCGATTTTGAGGGGTACTTTACATAAAGCCTTAACATTTTTAAAATTTTCTCGCAAAAGGCTTCAACTTTTTAATTTTTTACTTGGAATAGAGCAAAAGGCGCTAAAATAATAGACAGATCGCACTTTCGTTGAACTATCTGAATTGGGAAAATTGCAAAAGTCTTCCAACAACCACAATATTGATGGTAGATATTTTTTCTTAACGAAATCTGGACTCAATAAACAATCCTTTAAATGATTTCACGTAGAAACGTAGGAAATATGAGTAGTTATCGCGTAATTTAGCGTGAAATATACGCAATTTTTAAACATTTTTTTTTCAAAAGCTGCTCTAATTTCTTTCTTCAAAATTTTCTTTTCCGATGTATCAAAGGACGGTAAAAACGGTGGCGCTGATCACATTTTCGATAAACTCTCTATATTTTCTAAAATTGCAGAAAGTTAACATAGCAAGACTAATATATTAATTACAGAGGTTTTTTACTCAACGAAATACGTTCTTCAAAATTATATCTTTAAATAACATCCTGTACTTTGTTTTGAAAATATAAGTAGTTTCGCGTAATTGTTGTTAATTCGAAATCGCATATTTGAATTTCCTGCGCTTCTTTCGCTTTCTTCTGCTCTTCACTAGATGTCAATTCGCAATACAATGCCAAAGCCGTGACGTGGCAGTTTTAAATTCTCAGAACTACTTCGCATTGTTGGGCGATGTTGCTAACCGTATGTAACGACGTTTTGGATTGTCGAATGCATGTTGAGGAAATAGTTTTACAAGTATCAGTATTCGGACGCAATGCGCTTCGATTGGTAACGAATTTTACAAGAAATGGCTGAGGTGTGTTAATAGAGAGTTTTTGCAAGTCGTGAATTTGAAAGACGTAATGCAATTCTGGAGAGAATTCTACTGCGTAAGCGTTGGCATCGAGTGAAGAATTTCGATTGACGTGTCCTGTTATTCTCCCAGTTTTGTCATCTACGACAAGTGTCCATAGCTTACACTGTAGGTAGTTTTCACCACAAAACTTGAGTTCGACATTAATACACAATAAGCGTGGAAATAATAAAAAAATATCCATACTATCAATATAATGTGGCAGAAAATTTATGGTTAATTTTAATTCAAATATATCAGGAATAAACTAACGTGTTTGTTTAGGATATAGAGGATACATTTGTATATTGACGCTACATTGATTGTCACAAAAAAAATAGTTA